GTTAATGGTCAGTTAGTTTGGTTCCCCAGGTATCGAAGGAAACTTAAATGATTGGGAGGTGGATGCACTCCAAAATCTGTTAGGGAGTTAATTATCAAAAAAAAAAAAAAAAACTGTTAGGGAGTTTGCAGGAGGTTCAAGTCAATCTGAACTCTAGTGATACTAGAGTTTGGACTTGTGAAAAGAATCGATGATTCACTATTAAATCTTGTTGTGCAGCCAGGCTTGGTAATGGTTTTAAAGTGGCCTGATCCTGGTTTTGGAAGTCTCAGGTTCCCTCAGAGATTGTCTCTTTCTTATGGCTTGCAGCAAGGGGTAAAGTTCAAACAGTGGATGTTTTACTAAAGCAAGGCTTGACCTTCAAAGGTACTAGTGGTTTATGTGGGTCAGCTTCTGAATCTGTAAATCATTTGTTGATTCACTACCTGCTTACTTATCGGGTGTGGTGTCATTTCTTTGGGCTCTTTCATATCCAGTGGGTCTTACCCTGTTCTGTAGCTGATATGTTATCCTCTTGGAGGTATGGTGCTTTCTCTGCCTGGGGAAAATTAACTTCATGGAAAGAGAAGAAAGAAATAACATTCCAATCCAATGGACAGTCCACCCTTGAATTCTTTCCAATTTTACTAAGAATTACCTATCACTGCTATCAAGCCACCACCTCCTATACATCATGTCTTGCCTAGGAGAAACCTAGCTCATATGGTTCAGCATCAAGAAGAAATAAATACTAAGCCAGTTCTAGGGTTTATGGGTTTACCCTACTTGAACCGACTCAGGGAAGTAGCCTTGGTTGGCCTTGGTGAAACCAACCTTGGTGGGAGTAGCCTTGAAACCAAACCTTCCCTTTTGTACTTTATGCAATGAGATGAGTGAGTATCCAATTATCAATGAACAGGAAAAAAGGATTCCTACTTGTGTTAGTAGTCCTTCAAAGTTGGCATTTGAATGGGCTTTCAAAAGAAGGCCAGGTAATTTGGAGAGCAGGTCTAGCTTTAGTGATCTGGACAATATGGATAGAAAGAAACAAAAGAATGTTTGAAAATGTGTATGTTTCAGAGGACAATATGGACAGAAAGAAACCATGTACACTGTACACATGGTGCCTATTGTCATCTGACCATGTCACCCAATTTGTCAGCCTCTTGTTTATTAAGGTTTTATTAGCAACTACCAAAACCTTAGGCCACACTCGATAGCACATAAATTGACCAACGAATTCTGAAATTTTTTTACTTTTTAGAGGTTAGTAGGAAAAAGTATGATTCAGAGGTCAAGGATGTAAATCTTGTGGGATTTGAAGGTTTAATCTTTATAGGTCTATAAGCCCATGATAATCTTTGCCTGGTTATTCATACTGCAAGGAGTATTTTATGCAATTATTTGAGTATGAGGTTTAGGTCATTAAACTAGTTTAGGTTTGGGACATTAAATGTATAAAAGTTCAAATAAACAATTCTAGCTAAAACAGATTCACAAGCCTTGTTCATTGATTTCAGCATCATTAAGTATAAACCTGTAAAAGCTTTTTCAGTACTTCAGCATAGCTATTGCATGCTTCTCTGTTTTGTTTCAGGTTATTGCATGTTGTATGACCATAGATCARAACTTTGAGAGATGCAAATACAATAAAATTTGTATCAATGTTCCTAGGTTAGTRTATATAATCTGATATATCACATACAATCTAGCTCCAAGGTAGCTTCCTACAATCAGTCACTTGTTTGTCTATAAAAATTACTTATTTGTTACACTTGTTTTTGTTTTATATGGTGAATATATGATATTAGAGATGTGTCCAAATGTTTTCTACAAATTATTTTGTATTTCTTATACTTTTGTGTGTTTTATTGCTTCCTTTCTTTTAGAACACTAGAAATAATCTTTGTTTGAGGGTGTATTCTTCATATTCATACTTTCATATGCCAAAAATATTGATAATTGTTTATTTTTAGATATAACTTTTTTTCCTGAAAGTGATATAGGAGCTGACATGTCAAATATGAGATTTTCTAAATATATATTGATGGGTAGTGTGATTATTGTTGTAAAATTTTGAAGCTTTTTTTGAGTCWTTAGTTTTCCTAACTGGTATTTGAGTCATTAAAGAGAGTATTTACTTTTCCAGCATGTAAATTATATAGGCATTCTAGAATGAATTCCCCAATTTATCTATTTATTTATTTGTTTGTTTATTTATTTTCTATGAATAGATGGATCAAAATTTGCTTTATAAAATTGTTGGGGCTGCAACTGCTATGGTTGCAGTTACATTTTCATTGTTGCAAGAATATGTGGATTATATTGATAGGGAACCATCCGTGAACCGGGATTTTGAGCGAAGGGATTTATTGGATAGATTATATGGACAAAAAGAAATAGATTGTTATAACCAATTGAGAATGGGAAAAACAGCCTTTGCAAGGCTATGCAAGATTATTCGTGAGATAGGAAGAACACATGATACAATGAGGTGCACGGTAGAAGAATAAGTGGCACGCTTCCTACACATATTGGCACACAACATTAGGAATAGAACAATGGGCTTTTATTTTAGTCGGTCTGGTGAGACTGTGAGCYGTCATTTCAACAATGTATTGAATGCTTTGTTGAGCTTGGAGGATAGGTACTTGATTCAACCAAGTGGTACTGAAACACCTCCAGAAATTAGAAACCGACATGATTTTTGGCCATATTTCAAGGTAATTAAGTGATAAAGTCTTCTTTATGATGTATACACCCAAAAAAATGAATAATAAAAAACTTAAATCTACTGGCAGGATTGTGTTGGGGCAATCGATGGCTCACACCTCCCTGTGAAAGTCACTTCTACTGATGTTGCTAGGTTTCAAGGTCGTAAATCTTATCCCACACAAAACATCCATGCTGCATGCACTTTCAATTTGTTGTTCACATATGTATTACCTGGTTGGGAGGGTGCCGCATTGGATTCTCACATGCTTAACAATGCTCTGAGGGGAGAGCATAAATTAGAGGTCCCTCAAGGTAGTAATCAACTCTCACAAGAGACATTTTTATTTAATAGTTAAGTATGTACGTGTTTTCTAACTTTTTATATTTTAAATAGGTAAATATTATCTTATAGACGCAGGATTTTCATTAAAGACGGGGTTCATTACACCATATCAAAACACATGATACCATCTAAAGGAATGGGGTGCACATCAACCTGAGAACCCAAAAGAACTATTCAACCTTCAACACTCATCACTTAGAAATGCCGTTGAACGGATCTTTGGGGTATTGAAGAAATGCTTTCCAATCTTGGTATCTCAGCAGCATTACCCTTTTAAGTCACAGGTGAAGATTGTGTCTGCATGCTGCATCTTATACAACCATGCCATGGGTGTGGATCTGTATGATTTCATCATGCGTCAGTATGATCGAGAAGCAGTTGATACTGAGGATGATGTTGGAATTGATGATTTAAATGATGATAGAGCAGACAATACACAAATCTCCCAGCTATCTCAACGAGCTAGTAGAAATGAACAATCAAGGGAAGGAATTCGTCAGAGAATAAATAGCTACCCAAATGTGGGTTGATTATGTCTTGTATTGATCTAGGGCTCGGCATTAATATATTCCTGTTGTTTAACTCTTTCTTTATAATATAACTTTTGTTGTATAACTTTTTTTCTGTGTGCACTAACTTCTTTAACTAATTATGATGTTTGATTTTATTAATTGCCTATTGCTATTTATACAAAAATACCTTGTATTAATTGGTGTTATGGATATATATTATTGATTTGCATTATTCATTTGATTGTCATGAAACAGAAATGGACTCTTCTAGCTCTCAGCCTGAAAACAAGACTGGAAAAACAAATATAAATTGGACCTAGGACATGGATAATTTACTCATTGACACACTTGTTGAGCAGGTCAACCTTGGAAACAAGGTTGACAAAAGTTTCAAATCACCGGCTTACACTGCAGCGGCACGTGCTATTAGCACTAAGTTTTCAGTTTAATGTACACAAGGACACATATAAAATAGGCTGAAAACAATCAAGCGGAATTTTGTAATATTAAAAAACCTTTTGAATCAAAGTGGCTTTGCGTAGAATGATTCAACCAAGACAATAGATGCAACACCTGGTGTTTGGGCTACATATATTGAGGTAAAATAGATTAACAACACTTATACTTTAAACACTTGGTTTATAAATTATATGAAAGATGACTTATTAGTACGAAAGGTGACTTGTTATGGAACTCCCATGGTAAATGAGCAAGCACATCCAGAGGCAAAGCAGTTTAGATGAAAAAGCATTCCAAACTATGACCAATTGGCATTGGTATGTGGAAATGATCAAGTGATTGGAAATGGTGCCTTTACAGCCAAGGAGCTAAATAAGCAAAATGCAATTTCTGCAACTGCCACTAGTGCAACACCGAATGTTGAGCATGTGTTTGATGACATTGATGAGGCTGAGAATTCTGGAGATCCTAACCTTCAAGCAAAGCCGGTGGAGGGAAGTAGTTTTGYAGAAGGAAGAGTTTTAGGAAAACGGAAGTCATATGCTGCAATTGTTGTTGAACAAGTGCAAGACATTGCTACACATCTCAGGAAACTTGCATCTGCAGTTGAGAGAGGGTTTGGTTTATTTTGCAAGGAATAGGTGTATGTCGATGTTATGATCTTAGAAGGATGTTCAATGGCATTTTTTATGAAAGCATATGACTTCTTAGCTAAGTCTGAAAGTCGAGTTATGATATTTTATGGAGTGGAGCCAAATTTGAGGAAGGCATGGCTTCAAATGAAGTTAGGGCCTCCATATTGAAGGGATGGATAAAAGACTTAAACTATTATAACTCATATTTATTAACAAACTAGGTACTAATTATATATGACAAAAACTTGTCTTGATGGTTGAGCCTTTGCATCCATTTTGTATATTTTTTGGGGATGCATTGGCAATTTTATTGTTGTCCCCTTTTTTTGCAATGGTCAATCTACTTGTATTAGGTGGAATGAATGGTTATATTTTACACAAATGGATTTATTGGTATATGGATGATTATGACTACATGGAATGAATAGGTTGAACTATTGGCATTGATGAACTAATTACAGGTTAAAGACAAATTCAAATGATTTATTGATGTAAGTATGACTTTTTGAATGAAATATGTTATTGAATGCAACTTCTTTGATGTACCAACAGGTCCAAATAATAGAGCAATTTTAGTTCCTAATAGTTTCTTTTATGAATGCATGCACAAGTTTTTTATGGATGAGTACATTGAGTAGACCTATGAACAAATTCTATAATGAATGAGTACGTCCAAATAATTAAGCATTTCTTACTCTTTTTAAGTAAAATTTTGAATGAGCAAGTTTAATAACACTATCATGCCACGTGGCAAGTTCAATCATATGTGTCATACATTTGGGGGGTGCAAGTTTTCATAAAAGTAAATTACATGCATTTTTTTAGTTGAGAAAAATTTTCTCARCAAACAAACACTAGAAAGTGGATTTTCTCACAAACAGATCCTAAAGGAATAAGGGTTTAGAAGAGATTCAGGCTAAACAAAAAGACATGGATAGAAGTAGGGCCCCAATTTGCCTTCCCTACAATTCTAATAATTTTCTATAACTATTAAATAACATTAAATTAAAATATTTTATGATAATTTCTAAAAAAATTATTGAACTTTCTATTAATTAGTAGTAATGTATAGTAAATTAATTATTTACAATACAATAAACTAATGTAAATTATTTACTTTTTAAGCCTAAATTATTTACTATTAATCAAATTAAAAGTAATTATAGTAAATTAATGTAATTATAGTAAACTACATTATTTTTAATTAAAAGTAAACCATTTATTATTAATTAATGTAAAACCAGGTATGATCGAAGTCAACCAAGTGGTTTAGATCAGTTTGGATGGACTTAATAATTTTTCTAAATTATTTAATGAAATAATAATAATGGATTATTATTTAAATAATTATGAATCAATTTTTGATAGATTAATTTCCTAATTTAATTTTCCTAAATTTTTAATAATTATTTAGTTGAATAACAATAATGGATTATTAAATTATTATTGTAAAATTTTAATGAAAATTTATTAAATTACAACAATTAATGTAAATTGTGCTAAATGTTTAAATTTTGAACATTTATCTATTAAATAATGGGTTGTTTATTAATTTTTGGTAGATTATTAAATTATTTAATATTTGTTAAATAATGGATTGTTTCTGAAATAATTTTTGGTAGAATATTTTCCAGAATTTTTTAATAAATTTCATAACTAATGGATTGTTTGACAATAATGGAAGGTGCATGAATATATAGGAAATATCGAATTCCCCTTATTTCCCCCTTTTTGCTTGAAATCACGTGTACAGATATAAATATTGTTTGATTTAGAAAACCAAATCTTAATAAATTATGATCCTATTTTAATGAGAAAATAGAGAAAATAAAGGAATTAGAAATAGAAGCAAAGAAAATAATAAAATAATTATTGAGCTAATTAAGAAAAAAAGTTAGGTTGTTATTTATTAAACAAATTGGATGATTTGACTTTGGAAAATCCGGGCAGGTATGGGGGAGGAGGTGTGTTAAGAGATGCCAGGAACGGTTTTATTAGTGCTTTTCATAAGCATTATGGGACCAACACCAATCTCTTTGCTGAAGGGATGGCCTTGTTGGATGGGCTTTGTTTGGAAAAGGCGTTGGGCCTGGAGAAAATTATAGTGAAAACCGACTCAAAGATCTTGTGTGACATCATCGTGTTGGTTCAGTCTCAATACCTTGGAAGCTCTGTCCAAGGGAGGCAAGTCAGGTTGTTAACGCTCTGTCCAAGGAAGGATCTCGGCATACACAAGCAGGTAGTTGTTTCTTTGATAGTGTGATTGTATTGCCTTTTAGCATTTAGTAGTTGTTTCTTAGAGTTCGGTAACTTAAGGTGCATCGAATTCTTGTTATAAGCCGGTGGCCTCTTGTATAGCTTTTGTGAAGGGTAAGGTTTTTATGTTCCCCTTCTTAGGTTATTTGTTTGATTATTTAATAAAAATTTAGGTAACCTCCCCTCTATTGGGAGTAAATTTTGGGGTTAAAAAAAAAGAGATGTGAGTTGTGAGGAAGAGAGAACCCAATGGGAAGGGAGAAGAATGAAGAGAGATGGTGCTGACATGGCAAATTAGGAGTGGTGGAAGAGGGAGAGGAGAGAGAGAGAGAGTCAAGGCTAGAAGAATGTAGGGTTAAGGTAATGGAGCAAGGTGACGTGGACCCTCTTGCATATGGAGCAAGGTGACGTGGAGCAATGGGCATAAAAAAGGGCATATATGTCCTTTACTCTCACTCCAAAAACTATCCATTTATAACTGTTCAAAAACTGTCTATGAATTGTAAATGGTTTTGTCTTAGAGATACTATCACGTGCAAATGCACCTACATGTTTACTAGTATATATATATATATGTGTGTGTGTGTGTGTTAATTATAACTAAATTTTAGATATTTGAAATTTTAACTTTGTAGGTTGAGCGTAGGCCTATATTTCACTATTTCAGGTCTAGGTCCAGGCTGTGGGTGTTAGCTTAGGACAATAACTACCCCTAGGTTAGTGACAAACTCCCTAGTTTTTATTTATGACAAAGACCCTCTTGAACTTTCACTTTGCATAAATACTCTTCTCCATTAGAGTTCCATCAGTTAGTTTTGAAAAATATTCTTATTCAGTTGTTTGAAACTTTTTAAATCTCCAAACTACCATTTTTTTTATATATTTGAACGATTTATGATTCGATTATTTTTCTAAATATAACATTGAAATCCTCTCAATTGCTCTAATAGGTCCTTGCAAATTTCTGACTGGATTCAACATTCAAATGAAATAGTGGAGGCTTCCGTTTTAAAGATATAAATTTAAGGTTTCATTTGGTTTTCCATTTGAAAAAAAAAATGGTCTTATTTTTTGGTCAATCAGTATTTAAGAGAAAAGTGCGAGGAAAAAATAACGAAAGTGTATTTTGATAATTTAACACATTCCGTAATATGACTTAATGGCTACGGGGTATTTGTTGCAAAGTGAAAGTTCAGGGGGGGTTTTTGTCACTTACCCCATAGTAAATAAGATTGCAAGTTTGAACTTATGAGCTTGAATTCAAATCTAAATTTGACATATCAACCTTGTTTTTTTCTACATTCGAAATAAACAACAATTATTAACAAAAAAAATATATCAGTTATTCTAATACAAAAACATTCACACACACAAGCTCGTGAATTTTAGAATCAAATATTTTTATTCAAAAAACTAATCGAACTTGCCATGAGATTTGAATTCAATGAGCATTGAATTTAAGCCTAAACGGTTTGATTAAAGCCCAATTTAATTTCATTGTTAGGTGGAGATCAATGCATGGTGCATGTGAGATCCTTTGACATAAGGCTGCTATCTAATCGAATAGTTCGAGTTTGCATTCAATTAGGCTCGATTCGAATTTGATTCTAATCGAGCTTGAATCGAGTCTGAAACTTAGGATAAGTTTTATTAGTTATTTGAGCTCGAACCCGACCAATAAAAAGTTTGGCTCGATTAACACATACATACGTATATA